GGTGGCCCAGCACCGGGTGGTGGTGGTGGCCGGAGACACCGGCTGCGGCAAATCCACCCAGGTGCCCCAGTTCCTGCTGGCGGCCGGTTACAGCCACGTGGCCTGTAGCCAGCCCCGCCGCATCGCCTGCGTGGCGCTGGCCAAGAGGGTGGCCCTGGAGAGCCTGCACCAGTACGGCAGCCAGGTGAGCCCTTTATATTTTTATTTTTTTTTAATTATCTTCATATTTTTTACTTTGTTTTATTTTACTTTATTATTTTATTTCTTATTTTTGATGTAATTTTTTCTTTTTTCTTTTCTAAATTTTATTTTATTTTACATTTTATTTTGTTTTACTTTATTTTATCTTTATTCATTTACTTTTGTATTTTTTATTTTATTTTACCTTATTTTATTTGACTCTGATTTTTCATTCTTTTATTCGACTTTTGGGATTTTTCATTTTTCCGTTTAAATTTTTTAATTTTATTTTGTTTTAATTTATTTTATTTTTATTCATTTACTTTTGCATTTTTTATTTTATTTTACCTTCTTTTATTTGACTCTGACTTTTCATTCTTTTATTCGACTTTTGGGATTTTTCATTTTTCCATTTACATTTTTTTTTTAAATCTCGGTTTTGCTTCATTTTACTTTTTCCGTTTTATTTGATTTTCCAATTTTACTCGATTCTTTTCTTTTACTTCTTTTTTTCTGCTCTTATTTGGGTTTTTTTAATTTCATCTGTTTCGCTCGATTTTATTTAATTATTTTTGCTTGGTTCTTATTTTATTTTTTTCGACTTTACTTCCATATTTTATTTGAGGTGGGGTGTTTATCTTTTTCAATTTTATTTGATTTTCCAGTTTTACTTGATTATTTTCTTTTACTTCTTTTTTCTGCTCTTATTTGGTTTTTTTTTAATTTCATTTGTTTCGCTCGATTTTATTTATTTTTTCTTGGTTCTTATTTTATTTTTTCGACTTTATTTCCGTATTTTATTTGAGGTGGGGTGTTTATCCTTTTCAATTTTATTAATTTTTTTTTTTTCGATTTCATTTCCTTTTCTAAGATTTTTTTGGCGGTGTGTCTATTTTTAATGATATTTAATTTTTTCCCCCCGTTTTTTCCCCTCCCCTCCCCCAAGGTGGGCTACCAGATCCGCTTCGAGAGCACGCGCTCCCCGGCCACCCGCCTGCTCTTCCTGACGGAGGGGCTGCTCCTGCGTCAGGCCCAGCGGGCGCCCGCGCTGCCCGAGTACCGCGTCCTGGTGGCCGACGAGGTCCACGAGCGGCACCTGCAGGGGGACGTCCTGCTGGGCGTCCTGCGCCGCCTCCTCTCCGCCCGCCCCGACCTCCGCCTGGTCCTCATGTCGGCCACCATCAACATCCCCCTCTTCTCCGGCTACTTCGGGGGGGCCCCGGTGCTGCAGGTCCCGGGGAGGATCTTCCCCATCTCGGTGAGGACGGAGGAGGTTTGGGGTTGAAGCCGGGTGGGAATCATTGAATCATGGAATGGTTTGGGTTGGAAGGGAGGGACCTTAAAGACCATCCGGTTCCTGGGTCCCTGGGCAGGGACACCTCCCATCAGAGCAGGTTGCTCCAAGCCCCCTCCAACCTTGAACCCCTCCAGGGATGGGGCAGCCACAGCTTCTCTGGGCAACCTGGGCCAGGCTCTCAACACCCTCACAGCAAAGAAGTTCTTCCCCACATCTCAGCTCCATCTCCCCTCTTTCCATGTCAAACCCTTCCCCCTCCTCCTAGGCCTCCCATCCCTGATCCAGAGTCCCTCCCCAGCTTTCCTGGAGCCCCTTGAGGGACTGGAAGAGGCTCCAAGGTCTCCCCGGAGCCTTCTCTTCTCCAGGCTGAACTCCCCCAACTCTCTCAGCCCCCCCTCCCAGCAGAGGGGCTCTGGCCTTCCCAGCATCTCCATGACCTCCTCTGGCCCCATTCCAACAGCTCCATGTCCTTCTGATGTTGGTGGCCCCAGAGCTGGACACGATGCTCCAGGTGGGGTTTCCCCAGAGTAGAGCAGAGGGGCAGAATCCCACCCCCCTCGCCCTGGTGGCCACGCTGCTGGGGACACAGCTCAGGGTGCAGAGGGCTTTCTGGGCTGCCAGCCCATGTTGCCACCTTGTGTGGAGCTTCTCACCCACCAACACCCCCAAGTCCTTCTCCTCAGGGCTGTTCTCCAGCCATTCTCCCCCCAACCTGGGTTTGTGCCTGGGATTGCTCTGACCTTGCACTTGGCCTGGTTGAACTTCATGAGGTTGGCATGGTCCCACCTCTCCAGCCTCTCCAGGTCCCTCTGGATGACACATCCCTTCCCTCCAGCATGTCCTGGTGCCACACCAAAGTGTGGGCAGCCTCTTCCAGGGCTCTGCCACCCTCAAAGTGAAAAAGTTCCTCCTCATGTTTAGGTGGAACTTCTTATGGTCAAGTTTGTGCCCGTTGCCTCTCGTCACGGGGCACCATTGATCTGGTGTCATCGCCCAGCTCACTGAGGGTGCCCTCGATGGACTCAACACTGCTGTGTCTTCTTCTGCAGGTCATCTACCAGCCCATCCCTAAGGAAGAGGCCCCGGCGGGTGGGAAATGGGGGAAAGCGGAGCGCCTGGACCCTCTGCCCTACCTGCGGGTGCTTCAGGCCATCGACCACAAGTACCCCCCGGAGGAGCGGGGGGACCTACTGGTGTTCCTCAGCGGGGTGGCCGAGATCGGGGCGGTGCAGGAGGCGGCCCAGGCTTATGCCACCCACACCCAGCGCTGGATTGTCCTCCCCCTGCACAGCACCCTCTCGGTGGCTGAGCAGGACAAGGTGGGCCAGCACCTGAGGGGTCCCAGTTGGGTGGCACCCAACAGAGAATTCCTAGAGCTCAGCACCCCAGTTTTGGGTGCTTCCAGGGTGCAACCAGTGGGTGCAGCCTGTGTGGACCTCGGGGATGGCCATGCTGACCCAAGACCCCATCGTTTTTCCTCCTTCAGGTGTTTGACGTCCCCCCTCCCGGCGTCCGTAAGTGCATCCTCTCCACCAACATCGCCGAGACCTCGGTGACCATCGACGGCGTCCGCTTTGTCCTGGATTCGGGTAAGGAACCCGATTCCTACCACCACCGGGTGGGAGAACTTCTCCCTCCCTTCCTGCCCTGCCCTGAGCTTCTCCTTCCCCCCCATCCTGCTGCCTCCAGGGAAGGTGAAGGAGATGAGTTACGACCCTCAGGGCAAACTCCAGCGGCTGCAGGAGTTCTGGATCAGCCGCGCCAGCGCCGAGCAGCGCAAGGGACGCGCCGGCAGGACCGGCCCCGGCGTCTGCTACCGCCTCTACGCCGAATCCGACTACGACGCCTTCGCCCCTTACCCCGTGCCGGAGATCCAGCGGGTAGCGCTCGATTCGCTGGTGCTCCAGGTAAAATCGGGGAGATCCTTCTGCTCGCCTTGGGGTTGGGGGGAAGATTCTGGGGAGGATCACAAAATATTCATGGTTGGAAGTGACCTTTGAGATCATTGAGTCCAACCACAAAAAAACCCAACAAACCCAAAACCCAACAAACCAACACACACAACCCCCACACCCACCCACAGACAGACACAAACCAACAATCTTGGGCACTAGAGCATGTCCTGAAGTGCCACGTCTACACGTTTCTTAAATCCCTCCCCACCACCTCCCTGGGCAGGCTGTTCCAGTGCCTGACCACCCCGTCAGTGAAGTCATTCTTCCCAATATCTCATCTAAACCTCCCCTGCCCCAACTTCAAACCATTTCCTCTGCTCCTCTCATTATTCCCTTGGGAGAGGAGGCCAACCCCCACCTCTCTCCACCCTCCTTTCAGGGAGTTGTAGAGGGCAATGAGGTCTCCCTTCAGCCTC